TGCATGTATAGGCTTAGCGAAGCTACTGCTGAGTGTTGCATCGCGTACTATACTCCCCTCAAGTACAGGCCAGCGTGCGGGCCAAGTGATTTGTACTTACGTCGCGTATCAGCACCTCCAATTGCATGTGTTCGTTTCCAACATGGTTTCTTTGCAGGTGGCTTTCAAAAAATGGCGGGGAAGGGGAGAGTCCTGCGTCCATAGAACAGGCAGATTTCGGTTGAAGTGGTAGTTTTGCAGAGAACGAGGTTGCTGGAGCTTGAGTCGGCTTTCTGAATCATGTCAATAGCCCAGGCCGCATGGGATCAATGGCAAACGCTCCACATGTTGGGATCGCAAGATGCTGGGCCTTTGGCGCACCTTCTTCTTGTGCACGGATTGGAGTTTGGGCGGCTGGGACTCCGGCTGGGACTGGCTGGTCCAATCTTGTCACCTCTATGTTCTTGTTTCTCTTCCGCAGTATGGTATTTCTCAAGCAAGATGTTTGGAAATGCGGCCTCACTTGGCTATTGACATGAATTTCACTCTCAGTGGGAACGCCGCCTTGCAACCTGTAGCCTCCAACAGTGTTCCCCTAAGTCCCACCCAAAGCCCAGCGCGGAGCTTTTGTCTGCGCCTCCCAGGCACATCGTTTTCCAGGACTTCCCGGCCGAACTTCAGCTGCAGCTGCGCCAGGCCTTGAAGGCCCTCCGCCAGGGCCCTGGCACCATCCGGACCTCAGTGGTCCGATCGATGAAGAGGCCCAATTATCGGCACCGCCATTGAAGTGGTAGTTTTGCAGAGAATGAGGTTGATGGCGGCTTTCCGAATCATGTCGATAGCCAAGCGAGCCCTTATATTCCGACATGCAGTTTGAGAAATGAGCAAGCAAGGCGAGATAGATTGACCTCTCACTGACGCACCTTGGGGCGGGTTGGAGTTGGGGGCATTTGGGTACTGGATAGCGACAACTCGTCACCTCCCCCCGCCCCGTTTTCCGAGGCGATGCCGGCGCCGCGGGCTTGGCGGAGGGCCTCCGGGGCCTGGCGCAGCTGCAGACGCTGAGTCTGGCGCAGATCGGCCAGGAAGCTTAGGGGGGAGGCGCCCGGGTGAGGCGCAGACAAAAGCTCCGCAGTGCTGAGCTTGAGGTGGGGCGGACCGCCCAACAACGTTGTTTGTATTGTGTCTTTGAAGGAACTTTCAGGGGAGGTGCTCCAACTGCATTCCAAAAGCAGGACAGACGCAATTCCCGATCAAACGGGAACAAGACAGATTGATGAAATGGCCGAGTCCAGCCAAGTGTTTCAGGGATTGGGACAAAGTGAAAGTCGGCATGAGGTCCAAATGGTGCATGTATAGGCTTAGCGAAGCTACTGCTGAGTGTTGCATCGCGTACTATACTCCCTCAAGTACAGGCCAGCGTGCGGGCCAGATGATTTGTACTTACGTCGCGTATCAGCACCTCCAATTGCATGTGTTCGTTTCCAACATGTTTTCTTTGCAGGTGGCTTTCAAAAAAGTGGCGGGGAATGGGGAGAGTCCTGCGTCCATAGAACAGGCAGATTTCGGTTGAAGTGGTAGTTTTGCAGAGAACGAGGTTGCTGGAGCTTGAGTCGGCTTTCTGAATCATGTCAATAGCCCAGGCCGCATGGGATCAATGGCAAACGCCCCACATGTTGGGATCGCAAGATGCTGGGCCTTTGGCGCACCTTCTTCTTGTGCACGGATTGGAGTTTGGGCGGCTGGGACTCCGGCAGGGACTGGCTGGTCCAATCTTGTCACCTCTATATGTTCTTGTTTCTCTGCCGCAGTATGGTATTTCTCAAGCAAGATGTTTGGAAATGCGGCCTCAGTCGACTCTCAGTTGGAACGCCGCCTTGCAACCTGTAGCCTCCAACAGTGTTCCCCTGGAAGTCCCTCAACGATCTGATGCGTCCCCTGCCAAGTCCCACCCCAAGCCCAGCGCGGAGCTTTTGTCTGCGCCTCCCAGGCACATCGTCCCCCAGGACTTCCCGGCCGAACTTCAGCTGCAGCTGCGCCAGGCCCTGAAGGCCCTCCGCCAGGGCCCTGGCACCATCCGGACCTCAGTGGTCCGATCGATGAAGAGGACCAATTATCGGCACCGCCATTGGGATGATTATCTGCTGAAGTGGTAGTTTTGCAGAGAATGAGGTTGATGGCCGCTTTCCGAATCATGTCGATAGCCAAGCGAGCCCTTATATTCCGACATGCAGTTTGAGAAATGAGCAAGCAAGGCGAGATAGATTGACCTCTCACTGACGCACCTTGGGGCGGGTTGGAGTTGGGGGCATTTGGGTACTGGATAGCGACAACTCGTCACCTCCCCCCGCCCCGTTTTCCGAGGCGATGCCGGCGCCGCGGGCTTGGCGGAGGGCCTCCGGGGCCTGGCGCAGCTGCAGACGCTGAGTCTGGCGCAGATCGGCCAGGAAGCTTAGGGGGGAGGCGCCCGGGTGAGGCGCAGACAAAAGCTCCGCAGTGCTGAGCTTGAGGTGGGGCGGACCGCCCAACAACGTAGCCGATGTATGTTTGTATTGTGTCTTTGAAGGAACTTTCAGGGGAGGTGCTCCAACTGCATTCCAAAAGCAGGACAGACGCATGCCTGGTGACATGTCACACGGGAAGACAGATTGATGCAAAGGCTGCTTCCAGCCAAGCATTTTAAGGATTGGGACATATCGGGGGTAGGGATGAGGTCCAAATTGACTTGGAAGGCAGTCCCACGGGGGCGCTGGTGGGGTCCGTCAGACGTCTTCCCAGAGCCTCTTGGAAACTTGTCCTGCGAGGTGCGTTTTGCTGAAATCATGATTTTGATGTTTCCTGGGGGTTAACCACCCAAGTCCAAGTTTCTGGGGTTGTTTACTCGCCAAGTCATGAGGCCAGACTGCAGGGGTCACCAGTCCTGACGTGTGTGCAGCCAGGGTGACGCGCCTTGCGGAGCAATGTGGCGTTGGGTGAAAGCGATATTTGCCATGTTCACCATTTCCCTTTGGTGGTAAATAGAGGGGCCTTGTCCAACCAAATACTGGTTTGATTTGGAGCCCCGGCGCCTAATTCGCAAAGTTATCGCAACTCTTAGTGTCGTTTAGAGACTGTTCGGGGTCATTGGGGAGCATCAAGGGGATGATAATTTTTCTGCAGCTCTTGTTGATATGGTTCTCAATCACTATGAGGTCCGCAAGTCGTTCTGCGCTTGTTGGGGAGCTCTTGAATCACTAGAGCAGTGCATCGTTGCGTAGCTTCGGCTCAGATGCCCATGAACTAAGCGAATCTGCAACATGAGCACAGGCTGGCACAGAGGCCACAAGCAGGTACCGGGGATCGATCCGACCTGCTTGGCAAACCACCATCATCCTTAACCACCAAACCACCAATCCATGCCACCACCTGGAGGGAAGCTGATTTTGTTGCACCTTAAAGGTCCTAGAGGCCGAAGGCTGGTTCCGAGCCATGCGGCGTCCATGGCATGTTCTGCTTCTGGCGCTGCTGTGTCAGCGTGTGTGGTGGGGCCCCGCGTTTGGCCGGGCGCCTCGTTTGGACCGCATGGACACGGTGGATCTTGCGGAGCGGCGAAAGGAGGCTAAGGCGCAGAAGAAGGAGCTCAGGGTTGCGCCCTGAGAAAATCGACGGAGTGACAAGGCTTGAGCAATATCCTTTGGGTGTCACGAGTGTTTTTACAACATCCATCCTTTCGGTGGCCCCCGCAAAAAGGACCAGTAGACACATGTATGAATGGCTTTTGCACACATGAGTTGTTCAAAGAGACTCTTCATGCTTTTAGCACGCAAGTTTGAAAGGCGCTATTGCATGAATTGTGTTCTGTTGGTTTCCCCACGAGAACCACCTGATTGTCGTTTGAAAACATTTTGACCCCACAAAGGAGCTGCAGCGGGGCAGGCGGGTGAAGCGAGGCAGACCGGGCCGGGTGCGGATTCAAAAGCAGATCCCTGCAGTTGCCGCACTCCCTGGACGCATATTGTTGCCAGGCTCAGTTTTCCCTTTTGCCTTCTGCATCTTTGCCTTGTTTTTCTTTCCTTCATTTCCACAGCATATTTTCTTTGCCTCGTTCTTTTTGGTTTCTTTTGTTTTTTCTTCATTTCCTCAGCCGAGTTTTCCCTATATTTCCCCTTTCGACCCTGCAAATAGTACTGGAGACCTCTGGCCCAGGTCGAAGATCAGAGAGGCGGAGTCGCCTTTGCAGGTCTTGGAGGTGGTGCAGCTGGCCGAGTTCAAGCTTCTTGTAAAAGCAACCGTAACTTCCGTTCGCTTACAGGCAAACTATCACTATTGGGAATATTGTGCATTTTCCCTACCGTATTAGGTATTTTGCCCTGTTGGATTTAAAGGGAACCTATCGCTGTTGGGAATGGGCTCCCTCAGATAGCTGAAAGCTATAGGGGTTCTAACTTCTACTAAAGAGGGGAAAGTGATTTGCGAGATTGACGGCTGGGTGCTAGGAGCGTGCAGTTTGGGGTGCTGGTGTAGGTGCTGTTGGGGGGGTGCTCTTTGTTTGGGGGTGCTGTTCGAGGTGCTAGTCATGGCATTTTTCCAAGTTTGACGGCAGGGTGCTAGGGGCATGCTGTTTCGGGTGCTGGTGCAGCTAGTATTTCGATTGATAGCAGGTGCTAGGGGGCATGCAGTTTGGTGCTGTTTTGCGGGGGGCCTGGTGACGACCAGGTGTGTTTCAAGCAGTTGGGGGATTCCAGCGCAGGTTCTTTTTCGGGATGCTGTTTGGGGTGTTGTTTGAAGTGCTGGTGACGATGCGGGCGCATTTTTGCGAGATTGATGGCCCGGTGCTCCTGCGCTGGTGTATTTTATTCTTTCCAGGGGACTTAAGCAAACGGAGGTAAAGGTTGTCGAGGAGACCAAAACATTCTAAAAGGCAATGTCATTTTCTTTGAGGTCAAGCAAGTCCGCCTTGGTTCCCCCTCTCTGGGTCCATTTTTAGTCAAGGTTAAAGTCATGAATCTGGGTGCTGGCGCGTGAGGCTTGGCTTCAGCCATATGTCTGTCGCCTGGGCACGGATCGCGGAGACATGGACATGGAGGTCCGCTTCCGGCAATCACCCTCACTTGCGGGACCTCATCATTGCCACGCAAGGAGCGGTGCGTGCGAGCGACGATGCTCGAGCTATAGCCAACACCTTTTGGGCAGTGGCAAAGCTTGGTCAGCACCGGGACTTGTTCTTCCCGTTGGCAGGTCTGAGGCAAAGCCTTTGTGAGGCAGTCCAGCAAACGGCAAAGCAGATGAGCACGCAAGAGTCTGCGAAAGTGCTTTGGGGCATTGCGGCTCTGTCAGAGCCAGCGCGCAGCTCAGTACTCAATGTGCTTCCAATGTTTGAGGAGAGAGTGAAGGAGACACGGTTGGGCCAAATGCCTTTTTTCCAAGGTGTTTAATCACTCATTGATTAAACAGCTTCGTTTCGTTCCCTCGAAGTGTTAAAACCAGTTTGTCCGAGCCTGGAAGGAGACCATAGAGGTGACCGCGAACATGAATTCGCAAGAGATTGCAAGCCTCATTCGGGCTGTGGCGAAGCTGTCGCATTACTCGGATGGTAGCATTGCCGGACTTAGCTTCCATTTTTCCTTAAAAACAATTTTGCAACTTTTTAGTTGTTTCTTCATTGTCCCTCTTCACCAAAAAAGGTTGACTTTTGGAGCTAAAGAGTCTGGCCAAGGTGGACTGTTGGCTGCAATTTCCCCTGGCACCAAGGAGATGCTGAGGTTCAACATGCTTGAGCAAAATGCCGCAAACATGATTTGGGCTGCGGCAGCATTATCAAACTCCGAGCCTTCTTTGGCTGACGTGCTTCCGTCCTTGCTGAAACGGGTGGAGCAAGTGAGCTCGCAGATGCGCATGCTTGATGTCACAAGGACAATTCATGCTTCGGCCGTGCTGCCACAAGCAGTTGACAAAGAGTTGCTGGCATCCGTGCTGCCTGCATTGTCAGAGATGGGTGTACAGGATGTTTCAAGCATCATTCAGGCTGCTGCAAAGCTGTCACAGGCAGGAGACGACTCTTTGGCTGCTGCGCTTCCAACCTTGGTGGAGAGGGTGGAGGAGTTGAGGTTGGAGCTGAGTGCACAAGATGTAACAAACATCATTCAAGCTGCGGCAAAGCTGTCACAGGCAGGAGACGACTCTTTGGCTGCTGCGCTCCCGAACTTGGTGGAGAGGGTGGAGGAGTTGAGGTCGGAGCTGAGTGCGCAAGATGTTACAAACATCGTGAGGGCTGCAGCTACGCTGCCGCAAGCAGGAGAAGAGTTGCTGGCGTCCGTGCTGCCTGCCTTGTCAGAGATGGGTGCGCAGGATGTCTCCAACATCCTTCAGACTGCTGCAAAGCTATCACAGGCAGGAGACGACTCTTTGGCTGCCGCGCTTCCGACCTTGGTGGAGAGGGTGGAGGAGTTGAGGTCGGAGCTGAGTGCGCAAGATGTTACAAACATCGTGAGGGCTGCAGCCACGCTGCCGCAAGCAGGAGAAGAGTTGCTGGCGTCCGTGCTGCCTGCCTTGTCAGAGATGGGTGCGCAGGATGTCTCAAACATCCTTCAAACTGCTGCAAAGCTGTCACAGGCAGGAGACGACTCTTTGGCTGCTGCGCTTCCAACCTTGGTGGAGAGGGTGAAGGAGTTGAGGTCGGAGCTGAGTGCGCAACATGCTACAAACATCGTGTTGGCTGCGGAACAGCTGTCACAGGCAGGAGACGACTCTTTGGCTTCTGCGCTTCCCACCTTGTTTGAAAGCTTAAAAGAGTTGAGGTCTCAGTTGAGCCGGAGTGATGTCATCACCATGATTTGGGCTGCGGCGAAGCTGTCGCGCGGAGGAGCTGACTACTTGGCTTGTGTGCTTCCAACCTTGGCGGGGTGTGTGCACGGTGAAGAGCCGTCGAGGTCGCCCGGGTTGAAATTGACGATGCGCTTAAAGTTGAGCGCGCAGGAATTTGCAAGACTTGTTGAGGCTGCGGCAAGGCTGCCAGTGTCATGTAAAGACATTCTGGCTCATTTTCTCCCGAACTTGTCAGAGATGATTGCACGTGAGGTTGCAGACATTATTTGGGCTGTGGCAGGGCCATCTCATTCAGGGACTGACTCTTTGGCTGACGTGCTTCCGGCCTTGCTGAAACGGGTGGAGCAAGTGAGGTCGCGCATGCGCAGGTGTGATGTCAGACGACTAATTCACGCCGCTGGAAAGCTGTCGGAGTCGCGTGAAGACTTGCTTTGTGTCATGCTGCCTGAGTTGTCTAGGGAGGATGTTTTAAGCATCATTCAGGATGCGGCAAAGCTGTCACAGGCGGGAGACGACTCTTTGGCTGCTGCACTTCCGACCTTGGTGGAGAGGTTGAAGAAGTTGAGTTCTAAGCTGAGCGCACAAGATGTAACAAACATCGTTGGGGCTGCAGCAACGCTGCCGCGAGCCAGCAAAGCGTTGCTGGCATTTGTGATGCCTGCGTTGTCAAGGATGGGTGTGCTGGATGTTTCAAGCATCATTCAGGCTGCTGCAAAGAAGTCACAGGCAGGAGACGACTCTTTGGCTGCTGCGCTTCCGACCTTGGTGGAGAGGGTGGAGGAGTTGAGGTTGGAGCTGAGTGCACAAGATGTAACAAACATCATTCAAGCTGCGGCAAAGCTGTCACAGGCAGGAGACGGCTCTTTGGCTGCTGCGCTCCCGAACTTGGTGGAGAGGGTGGAGGAGTTGAGGTCGGAGCTGAGTGCGCAAGATGTTACAAACATCGTGAGGGCTGCAGCTACGCTGCCGCAAGCAGGAGAAGAGTTGCTGGCGTCCGTGCTGCCTGCCTTGTCAGAGATGGGTGCGCAGGATGTCTCCAACATCCTTCAGACTGCTGCAAAGCTATCACAGGCAGGAGACGACTCTTTGGCTGCTGCGCTTCCGACCTTGGTGGAGAGGGTGGAGGAGTTGAGGTCGGAGCTGAGTGCGCAAGATGTTACAAACATCGTGAGGGCTGCAGCCACGCTGCCGCAAGCAGGAGAAGAGTTGCTGGCATCCGTGCTGCCTGCATTGTCAGAGATGGGTGTACAGGATGTTTCAAGCATCATTCAGGCTGCTGCAAAGCTGTCACAGGCAGGAGACGACTCTTTGGCTGCTGCGCTTCCAACCTTGGTGGAGAGGGTGGAGGAGTTGAGGTTGGAGCTGAGTGCACAAGATGTAACAAACATCATTCAAGCTGCGGCAAAGCTGTCACAGGCAGGAGACGGCTCTTTGGCTGCTGCGCTTCCCACCTTGGTGGAGAGGGTGAAGGAGTTGAGGTCGGAGCTGAGTGCGGAAGATGTTACAAACATCGTGAGGGCTGCAGCTACGCTGCCGCAAGCAGGAGAAGAGTTGCTGGCGTCCGTGCTGCCTGCCTTGTCAAAGATGGGTGCACAGGATGTCTCAAACATCCTTCAAACTGCTGCAAAGCTGTCACAGGCAGAAGACGACTCTTTGGCTGCTGCGCTTCCGACCTTGGTGGAGAGGGTTGAGGAGTTGAGGTTGGAGCTGAGTGCACAAGATGTTTCAAACATCATTCAAGCTGCGGCAAAGCTGTCACAGGCAGGAGACGACTCTTTGGCTGCTGCGCTTCCCACCTTGGTGGAGAGGGTGAAGGAGTTGAGGTTGGAGCTGAGTGCGCAAGATGCAACACGCCTCGTTGGGGCTGCAGCTACACTGCCGCAAGCAGGAGAAGAGTTGCTGTCGTCCGTGCTGCTTGCCTTGTCAGAGATGGGTGCGCAGGATGTCTCAAAAATCCTCCAGACTGCTGCAAAGCTATCACAGGCAGGAGACGACTCTTTGGCTGCTGCGCTTCCCACCTTGGTGGAGAGGGTGAAGGAGTCGAGGTTGGAGCTGAGTGCGCAAGATGTTGCAAACATCGTGAGGGCTGCAGCTACACTGCCGCAAGCAGGAGAAGAGTTGCTGGCGTCCGTGCTGCCTGCCTTGTCAGAGATGCATCCAGAGATGGGTGCGCAGGATGTCTCAAACATCCTTCAAGCTGCTGCAAAGCTGTCACAGGCAGGAGACGACTCTTTGGCTGCTGCGCTTCCCACCTTGGTGGAGAGGGTGAAGGAGTTGAGGTCGGAGCTGAGTGCGCAAGATGTTACAAACATCGTGAAGGCTGCAGCCACGCTGCCGCAAGCAGGAGAAGAGTTGCTGGCGTCCGTGCTGCCTGCCTCGTCAGAGATGGGTGCGCAGGATGTCTCAAACATCCTTCAAGCTGCTGCAAAGCTGTCACAGGCAGGAGACGACTCTTTGGCTGCTGCGCTTCCAACCTTTGTGGAGAGGGTGAAACAGGTCATCGGGCACTTGAGTCCGCAAGATGTAGCAAACATCATTCGTGCGCCACTGGCAGGAGACGACTCTTTGGCTGCTGCGCTTCCGTTGTTGGTAGAGAGGGTGAAGAATTCGAAGAGGTTGAGGTCGAGGCTGAAGTCGGAGTTGAGGTTGGGCGATGTCGACCTTAATCGGGCTGGACCAGTTCAGGCGGAGGCTTATAGGACGATCATGCGGCAATTGGGGAAGCGAGTTTGAGTTGGTGGTTGGGTTGCTCAACACGAAGCCTCAATTCTATTGCGACGTGGTAGCGGTTTGCCTTGTTCTAGTGATGTTACACTATGGGTTATGGGATTTTGAACACCCCAGCATACGCTTTATGAGGCACCTATAGCATGGCAGATGGCAGTTTCCTCGTGTAGCTGTGCCAATCGCCTCGATTCGTTCCAGCGAGTTCCCAAAAAAAGGCGCCTCGTCCGTCGGCCGAGCAAGCTTTGCACCCTTTGGAAGCCCGACGGGGGCAGAAGTCATGCACGGGGGTGGGCGGATCCACATCGTTTAAATGGGTCCTTGTTGATGCTAGCGGACCAGAAACCGCGCTCAACGGAGTGCATTTTTTCCCTGCAACCCTGCATAGCAAGCGGGAACCACTGCTTCGCCCTGACAATGCGCGCACGCCTGACCATAATAACCGCACCCGCTCGACTGCTTCGTTATAGCACGCCTGACCATGGTAAGCACACCGGCCCGACTGCTGCACACGCGCGCGCTTGACAATGGCAAGCGCACCCGCCCGACTGCTGCGTTCTAACGCTGCGCGCACGCCTGACAACGGTACGCGCACCCGCTCGACTGCTGCATTATAACACTGGTCGCACGCCTGACCATGGTAAGCGCACCCGCTCGACTGCTTCGCTATAACACTGCGCGCACGCCTGACCATGGTAAGCCCTCCCGCTCGACTGCTTCGCTATAGCACGCCTGACCAAAGATGTTTTTCGCGGACGCGAAAAGGCCGTCTGCCACACTGGCACGATAGACTCTACCTGGTCAAGCTGCAAAGCATATGTCCGGAATTCGCTGCCTCCGTGCAGCCCGCATCTCCTCTTGTATGTAAAGTCGTGGCAGCGGCGCTATGTCTTGCGCCAGTGAGATGTGGAGCAGCAAGCTGTCGTAGCGATTGCAAAGACGGGAAAAAGGAGAAGGCAGGGAATGGGTGATACAAATCTGCGTTTCGCCTCAACGAACCGCAAAACGAAACTGAGCCCTGTTTTTGGGAGGTTTTCTGGGGACTCAATGTGCGTTTCGCTGAGGTGAAACGCACGTTTTTTCAGAAAAGCGGCAAAACGCGAGCGTGGATCTCGGTCCGCCGGGTTGTTTATGGGTTTTCCTTGGTCAATGGAACATGATGTATAACCAGGGGGCCCTCATGATTTTTTGGTTCGGGGTTGGGATTGTGCGTCTTTTGCAAGGAACTCAGATGGGCTCACGCCAGTAGTTGCGTTCCTCCCAAACAGGTTTCCTTGTCTGGAGAGAAGGCTTGCTTTTGCCGCTTTTGCCCGTTCCAGGGTTTTGGGCCGTGGAAAGTGTTGATCAGTTTGTTTTGCCAAAGACAGTCTCCACTGTTGATAGCATCTTTTTGCATTTGGATTTGTGCAGACACATACATATATATATATATATATTATATGTGGTAAGTGGGGATCAAAGAAAAGTTTCAGTGTCAGCCCCTGTCCTCCCGTCTGGATGTTTTCTTCATCGCGCACGGAGCCTTTGCCTTGTGGGCGCTCGCTCGCGAGCAAAAACGACCGCGCGGCCGTCCGTTTTCGGGCAGTCAGGGGGGCGGAGCCTCAGGACATTCGGAGCGGTTTCCCTTTGAACCATCATGCAGAGTCCATTTTTTCGGGTGTCACTTCAAAACTGCGGATCCAGAAACATATTGTCTGAGGGGTGTAGGGGGGATATAGTTACCCGGACCTCCAAAGGTGTCCGTGTTGCAAATTCTTTTGGGTGGGTTTCCCTTTAATTAAGTGTCCTTTTATCCCCTGGCTGTGGTGCTACAACTTGTATGTCTTTTTTTTATTGGAAGACTTTGCCGATTGGAGACGCCGGTGGCGCTCGTGCAGTTGAGGCAGAGATGGTTGAGATCGGGGTTTCAGGTCCCATAACTATCTCGTTAGTCTGTCGAAGAGCGGAGTCTCATCGGCGGACGAGCTTCTGAAGTTGTCTCTACCGCATTGGTCGTTTAAGGGTCGTGCCATTGTTTGTCATAGTTTGCCCACATGTCATTTCGCTTCGTCTGAAGAGGGCGTGTGTCAGAGCACCACGACAAGTCTGAACCCCTGTGCCAAAGAATTCCTCCGGATTTCCCAAGCCTCTGAAGTCTTGTCGGTTGTAACGCCGAGGCCCGGTGGAAGGGTCGGCGACGCAGGCAGAGGGCCGGTCCTTGGTTGCCTGAGCCCATTGATTTCAGGGATCATGCAGCTCCCCATTTTCAAAGACCCTCCCAACCAACTGTCTTGGCCCATTTAGAAGGCTCATTAAGTCCCTAAGCCTCGGGGCTTTGGCTTGTAGGGGTCGTCTTCCCCGCTTGGGAGTTTCATTTGCCTTTGGGCAAATGATCACAAGCGCACCGATGAGAAGCCTCCCCTCTTTCCGGGTTGCTCCTTTGGCCTCGAGAAGGACGAGACAAACGATCCCAAAGGTGTCCCAAGAGGATGGGTTGAAACTGAGTCCCTTTCCACTCGTTTCAATCCTTTGCTTTTGAGAATGCATTCTCTAAAGCAACACCTCTATGACCAAGCAAGTTGGTTGAACATTGGACACAGCTGATCTAATCAATGTCCAATCCCCCCGAAAAACGCCGACCAATGTTCTGACCCTCGCAGGATCCCCGGACCCCCCAAAAAGAAAAAGGTGGTTTAAGCATTTTTTGGAGTCAGTTTCAGTGAGTTTCCTTTTGATGTTCAAAGGGACATATCTGGGACTCTTTAATTTAAAGGGGGATCCACATGTGTTAAGGGCCCCGTGTTTCTTCATGTTCCACGGCGTTTCCCTTAGTTGGGTCGGGATTGGAGGGATAAAATGAGAGCCCAAGGGCCCATAAACTTGAGTCCAAGACTTCCAGTCTCCCGAATCCACCAGCAGGGCAAAAGGGGCTTACACCCTTTATATAATGTTGATCCCATATGAGTCAACCAACCAGTTTATTAATAGGGAATCAGACAACTTTTGGAGGGGCTTTCCCCCACCCTATTAATAATCTGGTTGGTTGATTGATATGGGGTCAACAATTCTGGACTGTTGATTTTCTCAGTCACTTCTCTTCTTTTGCTTAAATTGAACCGGATTGGCAAAAAAGGGTTTACACCGTTATAGTGTTTGCATATCCCATTTCAACTCCCTCCAAACGGCGCCGTTCCTTGAACAGAACCTATGAGGGGATGGATCTTGGCAGTTTTACCAGTGGCTTTGTCACCCAAAGTCACCTTCGCACATTGGATTGTTTAGGGGGTTTCTCTCACTAGAGTCCCCATCCTAAAATCTCCGAAGGGGGACCGAACCGGATTTTTCTTGGGGCCTCTGGATGACTCCGGGGTCGTTGACGTCACTCATCCCGTTTTTTTCTTCTTCTTCTTCTTCTTCTTTTTTTCCCCCCGTTTTTTCCTAGGTGAGGATGGAGGCTTCCACTCCTTAAGACGAACCCAAGGCAAGACGGGTGCCAACTCTTTGCGTGGAGCAGAGGGTCAAGACCCAATCGGCCGACTTGTTTGCACCAATGGATAGATTTGTCGGACCACATAGCGGATGCCAAGGTTGTCTGTTCAGAGCGTTTGCGCTTTGATTGTGTCTTCATGAACGGCTGGTTGAAACAACTTGAAACCAACGTGGAGCAAATTACAACCCACATTGTGATTGGGGGGCGATGATGAAAGTCCATCATCCATTGCCTCGGTTTTGATGTACAACGAACAGAACATGAATGTTTCCTCTTCTGATAAGTCTGCCAAGCAGTTCCTCCATTCCTGATTTACCAGTGTTTTTTTGAAATATGAGACGACCACAAGACCAACATGGTTGCAAGATAAGTGTGTCCGACACCTGTGCCCTGGCCAGAAGGCCCTTTTGCTTGTAGGGCCGGTCGTCAAGCCGTATGGGATATGAAATCCTGCACCACTTTGAAGCCGTTGTTGAAACCATTGTTAGGTACTAACTGGGTTTTGTTCATTCACAGTAAGAGTTCCCTGTCAAGGAGCCATATGGCTCGCAAACCAAGTGGGAGGTTTGCCCAACGGTGGGAACGAAGTCTCAGCTTGGATAGGGATGGTCATGAACCCTTTAGGGAGTTTGGCTAATTCTCATTGAGGAAGCCAGGACAACCCGCATGTTGGGAGTTTTGTCCGTTTGGTTCCTAGGCTTTTTCGGCTTTTAGTTGGTTTAGTAGTTTCCATTTATCCCCGCTAAAAGTTAAACGTTCAGCATGGGATCTGAGGATAGCTTAGATTCCATTGTTTCTGTCCTTTTTTTTCTCCGGTAGATGCCCATGCCGACCAAACAACACCAGGCATTGCATTTGCTCACTCTGGTTGACATGTTGTTTTCGTTTGGGCCGTTGACCGTGAATGGTACTGAAATGATACCATCTAAGTTGGGCCTGTTCTAGACTGGCGAGTGCACCGGATTTGCTTGCTTCCCCAATCAGACATGCCCTTGTGTTGTAAAATCTTTTGGGCCGACTCCCCAATCCTGAGATGCATGTAAGGTGCAAGATCCAAGCATTTCGACTGCCATTCTTGAGCTCCGTTGGTATTGGATTCCTTGGACGTGCGGCATGGCTTTCAAGCATTTCGGCAGGAGTCAGCTGCTGCTTGGAGCGGCTTGGCCAACCCAGTTGTTGGCGATCGGTGGGAACAGGTTGACTTCGCAAAGCTGACCAAACTTTGGGTTGGATTGTTGAGAGTTGAGAGGTTTTTGGGAGAAGCCACAGCCGCATGAGGTGCTGGTGCTCAGCAGGGAACGAGAAATGGAATGAATGAACCTTGAACGCCATCCAACTGGTGGTTCCCGTAAGGGGACCCCTGCGTGCATTCCCACATTCCCTGAGCACCAGCATGATGATGGTAGCTTTCAATTGGCTCAGGCCCTTCTGGCAGACGTCACTCAAACCCCACAGGATTTGCATCAGAGTCAGTGGGGATGCAGTCAAGGAAGGAAAATCAAGGTACACTTGCTCGGACGCATTCTTCAAATTTCATGCGACTGCGACAGTGATCCCTATTCTGGCAAATGGTTTTCCTGGGACACAAGACCTGCACAGCACCCGACGAGAGCAGCAAAGAAGTTTCAAGGCAGGGCAGTTGCAGTGTCGAGCGAGGCCTCGAACATGGTAGAGCTTTCGAGCGAGCCATGGAGCTATCCGGGCGTCGTTCCAACAGATGTCCAATTCAACCCAGAGACATGTGAGGTCTTCAACGACCTGAAAGCTGCTGGTTGATTTGAGACTAGGGAATGGCTGGCAAGTGCGTTACTCGCAATCTCAGCTTGAAATTGAGGTCTCGTCTGCCCTGACCGTTCCAGTGCGACTGCGGGATGATCGGATGATCCGAAAGTTTCGGGCACTTGCGTGGTCACTGGCGGAAGGTGGCTCCTGTCACAACACTTCGGGCGTTTCCGCGCTGAGTCAGCGCAGCTCATCCACAGCGAGGAATTGGCCGCAGCAGACGAGGGCCGGCTGCGCGAGCAGCGGCGGGAAGAAATCGCCAAGGAGTTGGATGCTCGGGTGAATCGTACCTTCCTTGGGAGGCAGAAGCGTTTGCTCTGCTTGATCATGTTCCTGGTGTCTGCATCTTCATGGGCGCCATGGCCTTCTGCACCATCACCGCCTTTGAGATCACGGAAAGCGGCTTCGAGGCGGTCGGGCCTTGCTGTTTCTCTTGTGCTGCGCTGTTTCGCTACGCGCTTCCAGATCCAAAGGACAGGGCGCTTTAGAATTCTTCTTTAGAAGCTCACCAAGCCCAAAGGAAACTCACCCAAAGTCATCCCAACAATAGGTTTTTGAAATTTTCGGGGCAATCTCGGGAACCCAGTGTCTCCAAATCCTGAAATGGAGCCGGTGTTTAAGGGAAACCTCTTTCTTGGTCGTTGACCAAGGCCCCAAAGGCACCTTTTGGGCATGACTGGGTTTTCCATGGAAAAGGCGACGACCTTTTGCTTCGGGGGAAGAGCAACCCTCAGCTTCCCGCAATAGTTTCAGCGAGGAAAGCCGGGAGCTGCAGACCGCTGTCCAAGCTGCGAGCCCTGCGCTCCTGCGCTACCAGCTGTCTGGGGTGGTCTACAGAAGCGGCGACTGGAGAGACACCCAGCGCGCGGTTGCACGGAATCCGCGCTAAGCTCCAAAGTGCTGCGCCCGTCATGCAGTCTGCGCAAAAAGCTCTAAAGTGCTGTGCCTGCGAGGAAATTTTAGCAAAAAGCTCTTGCCACGAACTCAAAATCGTCCAAAGCACTGTGCCTTTCAAGAAAATCAGACATGTTTACGGCGCGTATCCGACATCAGCACGGGACCGCGGCGCCAGATTGATTTCGACTGATTTTTGCAATTTTCAAGCTCACCAAAAACGAACCGACTATATGACAGGGCTAACGAAAATGAGACTCGAGCAAACTCTTGCGCGCCTGCCAAGCAAAACGCTCAAACAACTTCCCCTGAATCGCCTCAATCACAATGGCACGGCGACGCAAACGCGCAACCTTCCAAAACATTGCATGCGCAACGAACCAGCACGTCACGTCTCAAAAGCTGTCTTTTGGGGGATTCTTTAGGGACGTCTTAGCGGCTGTCTTGGGTGGGTGTTTTGGGATGTCTTTGGGGATGACTTTGGGTGTGTCAATCCCCAACCATGCTGAACAAAACACAGGGTTTCAATTTTATTGATACAATAGCAACATCCAGAAAAGTTGGCTTATTTAGAACCCCGCTAAACCCAATAGTAGATATAATCTCAAAAATCCAAACCACCAAATACTGTAGAGTCAAGATTGTGTCTGGCTCGATATGCAGGCAGCCAGGGAATCAACCCGAACTGAGCCATCCTGTGATTTCGATCATCCCCTGTTAAACGACTGTTTATTCCCTACTGAGAACCAGCTTGCATTGTCTGGGAATCGGGAAGGGTTTCCCTTTAAAATCCGGCCAAGCGAACGAGTGCCAATGTTTTTCCCGCTTTATCTTGCTGGTGCTCAGGGAATGTGGGAATGAACCCATGGGTCCCCTTAAGCTAGAAAAAACACCGGTTGGATGGTCTATCTCGGGGTCATTCGATTTCTCATTCCCCCAGCACTCTCGCACCAGCAATGGACACTCATGCGGCTGAGGACGTGGCAGGACTTTGCTGTTTTGCTTTGTGGCTCCCTCTGGTGAGCGTGGCCTGCCCAGTGGCCGTGGCGGTGGCCCATTTCGACAACGGCTTCCTCGTCGCCGCGGTGATCCTATGGGTTCCGATGGCCGCGTACGCGTGCCTCTTCTATGGTGGTGTGTCTTGTGGCTGCTTGGGGAATCAGACGTGGCACGACAGGGCAGAGGTGGCTTTGAGCGCGATCGTCAGTTGGCCAGAGTGGGTGCTCAAGAAGTGCAGCGGCAAAGGCTGGGCCTTCTGGCTGCAGCCCTCCAAGGAGGTGCTAGACGAAGCCATTCTCTTGACCCACCAGCACACCATCGTTTTTGAGGGCAGCGTGCTGCTGCCGCAACACGGTCACCTCATGGCCTGGCAAGCACGCCTGGGACTTCTTGGTGGCCGGCGCTCGTCAAGATCAACTTAGCGCCGCCGTGGTGTTCCTTCCACGATGCTCGCAGCACTATGGGTATCATGACTCAATTCCTGTGGAGCTGCCAGATCATTGGATTGTCTGCGTTGCGCCTTCCAGCCATGGTATCATGACATCGCTACACATGCAGCCAAACTGCTATGGGCATTCCAAGCTCTTGCAGATATTTGGACGTGGGAACACTGACCACAATCTTGTTGAGTTTCATCGAAGACAATTATCCGAGAAGGAGCGATCCAGTGGGTTGCGTCCAATCCCTCCAGAACACCTGCTGTAGCAATCTAGGTTTGTTTGGGCTTCCTTGGCTCGGAGCAGATCTCTGATTGCATGTGATAGTTTGACCCTTGAGTTTTCGGGACCTTGAGTTTTCGGGAGTGTGCGCATTGGAAAGCGAGAGTCGTTCTTCGCAATCGGCTCGCTGAGGACCATTTGAGCACGCGCGCGAGCCGTGAGCAAAGACTCGGAAGCAGCGGGTTCCACAAATGTGAGGTCCAGCCATCCAAGTTGAGTGAAAATAGTTGGTGCCATGCACTGAAACATACGAATGAATGCATGAATGAATGGATGAACGGAATGGAATGGAATGGAATGGAATGGAATGGAATGGACTGGACTGGACTGGAATGGGGATGGGGATGGGGACGGGGATGAGGATGGAGAAGGGGATGGGAACGGAATGGAATGAGAATGGAATGAAGTGGAATGGACTGGACTGGACTGGGGATGGGGACGGGGATGGGGACGGGGATGGTGATGGGGATGGGGATGGGGATGAGGATGGAGAAGGGGATGGGAACGGAATGGAATGGAATGGAATGGAATGGAATGGACTGGACTGGACTGGACTGGATGGATGGATGGATGGATGGATGGATAAATGAATGAATGAATGAATGAATGAATGAATGACTGACTGACTGACTGACTGACTGACTGACTGACTGACTGACTGACTGACTGACTGACTGACTGACTGACTGACTGACTGACTGACTGACTGACTGAATCAATGAATGAATTAATGAATGATTGAATGAACGAAAGACAAAATGAAATGATTAATGACGTGTCGTTCCGGTTCTTGTGGACTTTGCCCTGCTTGCTGCTGCTCCTGCTGCTGCTGCTGCTGCTGCTGCTGTTCCTGCTGCTGTTCCTGCTCCTGCTCCTGCTCCTGCTCCTGCTCCTGCTCCTGCTCCTGCTCCTGCTCCTGCTCCTGCTCCTGCTCCTGCTCCTGCTCCTGCTCCTGCTCCTGCTGTTGCTGTTGCTGTTGCTGTTGCTGTTGCTGTTGCTGTTGCTGTTGCTGTTGCTGTTGCTGTTGCTGTTGCTGTTGCTGTTGCTGTTGCTGTAGTTGTTGTTGTTGTGTTGCTGTGTGTTGCTGTTGTTGTTGTTGTTGTTGTTGTTGTTGTTGTTGTTGTTGTTGTTGTTGTTGTTGTTGTTGTTGTTGTTGTTGTTGTTGTTGTTGTTGTTGTTGTTGTTGTTGTTGTTGTTGTTGTTGTTGTTGTTGTTGTTGTTGTTGTTGTTGTTGTTGTCGTTGTCGTTGTCGTTGTCGTTGTCGTTGTCGTTGTTGTTGTTGTTGTGGTTGTGGTTGGCGTTGGCGTTGTTGGCGTTGTTGGCGTTGTTGGCGTTGGCGTTGTTGGCTGTGGCTGTGGCTGTGGCTGTGGCTGTTGTTGTTGTTGTTGTTGTTGTTGTTGTTGTTGTTGTTGTTGTTGTTGTTGTTGTTGTTGTTGTTGTTGTTGTTGTTGTTGTTGTGGTTGTGGTTGTGGTTGTGGTTGTGGTTGTGGTTGTGGTTGTGGTTGTGGTTGTGGTTGTGGTTGTTGTGGTTGTGGTTGTGGTTGTGGTTGTGGTTGTGGTTGTGGTTGTGGTTGTGGTTGTGGTTGTGGTTGTGGTTGTGGTTGTGGTTGTGGTTGTGGTTGTGGTTGTGGTTGTGGTTGTGGTTGTGGTTGTGGTTGTGGTTGTGGTTGTGGTTGTGGTTGTGGTTGTTGTTGTTGTTGTTGTTGTTGTTGTTGTTGTTGTTGTTGTTGTTGTTGTTGTTGTTGTTGTTGTTGTTGTTGTTGTTGTGGTTGTGGTTGTGGTTGTGGTTGTCGTGGTCGTGGTCGTGGTCGTGGTCGTTGTCGTTGTCGTGGTCGTGGTCGTTGTCGTCGTTGTCGTTGTCCTCGTCGTCGTCGTCGTCGGTGGGGGTGGTGGTGGTGGTGGTGGGTGGTTGGCGGTTGGCGGTTGGTGGTTGGTTGTCGGTTGTTGGTTGTTGGTGTTGGTTTATCTTGGCTGGATTTTTTTTGGGTTGGTTTGTTAGTTGGTTGGTTTTGTTGGTTTTGTTGGTTTTGTTGGTTGGTTTGTTGGTTTGTTGGTTTGTTGGTTGGTTGGTTGGTTGGTTGGTTGGCTGGGCGGCTGCATCCTCAGCATCCCCGGTCACTCGGTGTCAGGGCTGCGTATTGGCCAGAGTTGCTCGGGCTTAGCCGGTGACATCCCCAGCATCACCGGCTCGCTCGGACTGGGGCTGCCTATTGGCTGTGATTTGGTCGCAGTTCAGAGTTCCTCGGGGCAGGTTCCGGGTGAGTGTTGGGCTTGCTGAGTCTTACAGTAATGAGCGCGGGTCTTATATTAATGGCGTTGCCCCAAACCACCCAAACCAGCCCAAAACTTGCGCAACCACATCCCTGAAGCACCCCAAAAGCTACCGCAAAAACCGGGCCTCGCACCTCGCGCAAATCAGCTCCAAGCGACTCAAAGTCAACCTGAAACCGTCCCGACAGCATCTTGGATGTCAGCCCTTTACCAAGCCTAAATGAACCCCAAACAAATCCAAGACCCGCGCTCATTAGTACAAGACCTCAGCAAGCCCAACACCGAGCAACTCTGAACTGCCACCAAATCAAAGCCGTCTGAGCGAGGCCAGCGGGGCTGGGGATGCGGCCAACCCACCCGACCCCCAATCTGGGCAACCAGGCCTTCAGAGAATACCGCCTGTTGCCCCCAACCTGAGAGCGGAGCAAGGGTTCCCAGCCAACCTCTTTAGAGCCACATGAGGGAGACCTGTGAGACGGGGCTAGTAAAAAGCCGGGGCCAGTACAAAACAAAACATCTCAACCCAGAAACGACGAGGCGCCAGTCGGTTGTAGTTGGGGTTGTACCCACATGCTGCCAGAGCGTTTGCTCAAGCAATGCGCACATATGGCAGATTTGCCTCAGAAAGACGGAAGGTCCATGGCAACACAGAGCGCCTGAATATCCCCCCAGCATCCCCTCAGCGCAGAGAGGATTCGTTTGTTTTTCATGGGCTTGTCTCTAAGGGCCACCCCCTTTTTGGCCAGTTTTCCCGGAAACCAAAAGGACAATGACAGATGTCCCCCACAACGACACACGATCGAGACGTGCGAGCCCTTGTTGCTGGTACTTCTCAAATGGGAGATGAAGGCTCTGCCCTGACAGTCTTTGCAGGTTGGCGGAGCCCATGGCCGACTGTGTTTGTATAGATGATAGATGATGGAAAGGTCCCTGAGAATGGCGGCGGCCTCTTCTAGTTTCCAGGCGGGGAGTGGTGACATCCAAAAGATGAGGGGGTGGACAGGAGGGCCCTTATTGTTTTTAGGCAATCCACCAAAGAAGCAGGGTGCGGGGGGGGGGGCCTGGCTTGGGGTGTATTTTGCAACGTCGTGGTTGGGTTGCTGGCTTCAAACTCGGCTCTGAGTGCCTTTGTTTAGTATTGTGTGTGTGTGGTTGATGCTTTCCCTTTGGTTTCCCTTGCGCCCAAGGGCCCATCCACCAAGCATGCGCCCAAAGAAGTCCGAAGAGCGTGAAGCTTCCAGCTCTCAAGCCCAGCTCTTGAAAAGAGAGGATCTGGCCGATCTGGACGGCGGGATTCCCGCGGAAAACCTCTTGATCTTCTTGCGGGTAAGAAGAATTCGCTCAGACTTCTTCCGGGTGCTCAGTTCGACTTCCGGTTCAGGTGGACTCCTGAAGCAGCAAATGTTGAGCCTTTTTGAGGGGTCTGGAGTTGAATAGTGTCAGGTATGCGGAAACAACAGACAGTATCAGTGGGACGTGAGAGATTCGAAATTTACTCCACTATCCCTCATGGGCTATTTTTCCGGATTTTCATCGTTACTCCTGGATTCTGTTGTTTTTGCTTTATTTTGCACGGCCTTTTGTGGCTTTCGATGGTAAACCGCTCTACCCCAAGCACCCTACACCCGCTGACCCTCCGCGTAAACCACCCCCAGCCCTAAACCCACCGGACCACTGAACCACCTAAGCCGAAAACCTCGAGCCACCCCTCACCCCACCCCACCCCCACCCCACCACCCCACCTCACCCCACCCCACCTCACCCCACCTCACCCCACCCCACCTCACCCCACCCCACCCCACCCCCACCCCACCACCACCCCACCCCCGCATATCGCTCGCCAGGCCGCGGCGCCGCAAGCTATCGAAACCGGCCTCCGGGAGACCTTGGCGCGGCCCAACGCCCGCTCCGAGGGCGCGGAGGCCGCCTCGCGGCTGCGGGGGATCCTCGGGCACACCAAGTCCGAGGGCGCCAAGTCCGACGGCCGGGAGTCGGGCGGGGGGGGGGGGAGGGGGGCGGGGCTAAAATTCGTGTACGTGAGTCATTAGGAAAGTACGTATATATATATATATAATCCTATAAACACCAACACACACACACACACATGCATACACAATTTTACGTACACATATACATACATACATCACATTACATCACTTTACATTGCATTACATTACATTGCATTATATTTCATTTCATTTCATTCCATTCCATTCCATTCCTGTCCATTACATTACATTACGTCACATTACATCACATGACATCGCATACATTACATACATTACACGCACTACATACACTACATCCCATTACATCACGTTACATCACGTTACATCGCATACATTACATGCATTACAAGCATTACATACATTACATATATTACATACATTGCACACATTACATTGCATTCATTACATTACCTTACATTACATTACATTACATTACATTGCATTGCATTGCATTGCATTGCATTGCATTGCATTGCATTGCATTGCATTGCATTGCATTGCAGCATTGCATTGCACTACATTGCATTGCATCGCATTGCATCGCATTGCATTGCATTGCATTGCATTGCATTGCATTGCATTGCATTGCGTTGCGTTGCATTGCATTGCATTGCATTGCATTGCATTGCATTACATTCCATACATTACACACATTACACACACTGCATACATTACATGCATTACAAGCACTACATACAGTACATACATTGCATACATTACAAACATTACACACATTGCATATATTACATACATCACACACATGACATTACATACATTGCATACATTACATACATTACATACATGACATACATTAAATACCTTAAATACCTTAAATACAGCACACACACACATTACATACATGACTCACAGTACATACATTACATGCACTACATACACTGCATACACTACATACACTGCATAGACTACATACACTACATACACTACATCCACTAGATACACTACATACACTACCTAGATACATGCATGCATGCATGCATGCATGCATGCATGCATGCATGCATGTACGTACGTACGTACATACATACATACATACATATATATATATATACATATATACACACACACACACATCATGGAGTTGTTCCGCTCACACACGTGCAGACATACACAAATATGCAACTTTCTTACTTTTTGCGGGTTCTTACTCTTCGGCATGTGTTTTCGTGATTTTTTTCTTGTTTCTTGTCCGTCTTTCGGCTCAGCCATTTTATTGGGGTGGGGGCACAGAGCAGAGCGGAGTTTTGGAGTTCAGGGGTACGACCACTGTGAGACATGGTTTTTTCCTCTTCCCGTGGGGATGGAAGAGGAGATTTGTCCAAGAGGGTAAGGACTCTGGTTCCACGAGGCCCGGCTGCCCTCAACAGTCTCCTTGCGCGAGCCCCTAGCATTTGTGCTCATGGGAGTGCCATATCTTCCCTGGGCTTTGGAGCCGTGGCTCCTTTGTGAATTCGCTTTTGTTTCCAGAAGACGCACCGGAAATCGGGGTGGTTGAGGATCCAAATCCCAGCCACTGCTCATGGACACTTGGAGGGGCTTAAGACTTTGTAGCTTAGTTGCGCTTTGGTCCATCAATACTTTTTGGGGTAAATCAAGGGCTTCCCCAGCAACTAGTCAAGCGGACCACCCTTTGGGGAGCGAACAGGGAGAACATTTGCAGGGCAGAGGTGGGGGGAGCCAATGTTGGAACTGGTCTTATGCAGGTGGCATTGAAGGATTTATCTTGTCTCAACAAGCTTCATCCCTGGTTGCCCCACCAATTCTTACTTTTTGGTTATGGCATTCCTGCGCCAAGCGCATGTGAAACCTGGCCTCTCTCTCTCTCTCTCTTTCTCTCGCTCTTGCTCTTTCTCCTTCAATCCTTCTCACCCTCTCTTCTTTGTGGCTCCACCTCACCTCGCTCTTCCGCCCGAAACGGCCGAAAGCGATCGGCAGGCGAGCCGTTCTTGCCCATCAAGTCTTACAAGAGCTTCTTCAGCCGGGGCCTTGAAGCGGACCATCGGCAGTTCCATCTGGTTTCAGGGGGGTCAAAGCAGAGCCTAAATAAATACATGAGTAAATGTACATACAGATAGATATATTTATACATAACTAAACAACTAGCAAAATGAAGCAATACGTATTCAAAGTAATTAATGCAAACAAATCAGCAGCGCAAGCAATATACATACAGGCATGCATGCATCCATACACACCCACATGCATGCATACATACATACATACATAGATACGTACATACATACATAGATGGATAGATAGATACATAGATACATACATACAGAGATACACGCACACAATACATACATACATACATACATACATACATACATACATACATACATACATACATACATACATACATACATACATACATACATACATACATACATACATACATACATACATACATACATACATATACATACATACATACATACATACATACATACATACATACATACATACATACATACATACATACATACATACATACATACATACATACATACATACATACATACATACATACATACATACATACATACATACATACATACATACATACATACATACATACATACATACATACATACATACATACATACATACATACATACATACATACATACATACATACATACATACATACATACATACATACATACATACATACATACATACATACATACATACATACATACATACATACATACATACATACATACATACATACATACATTACATACATACATACATACATACATACATACATACATACATACATACATACATACATACATACATACATACATACATACATACATACATACATACATACATACATACATACATACATACATACATACATACATACATACATACATACATACATACATACATACATACATACATACATACATACATACATACACACATACATACATACATACATACATACATACATACATACATACATACATACATACATACATACATACATACATACATACATACATACATACATACATACACATACACATGCATGCATGCATGCATGCACTTTTTTTTTGTTGGGCGGGGGGGGTGGACATGTTTGGGGGGATTTGTAAGGATGACAAAAGGGCACCAAGCATTTCTTTTGGATCGCTTTGCACACCCATATGCAACGCTTATATAGCGATGTCATGTCGGTAGAACCAACAGCCAGTGGGAAGCGGAACCCTCGCGAATATTTTGCAGTTGCATCAATCCAAGCGTGTACTGATGTCCACAGACAGGTCCACTAGAAAAACAAGCAACAAACGGCTTTCCCTTCGACTTGTCTTCCAACCAATCCTGAAACAAGTCACATCCGAGTGAAGCAAGTGACCGCAACGTGACCATGCGTTTGGCCAGCATGAGCAACAGCGGTTTTCGCGCCGGTCATCTGATTTCAATCGATGGGCCGAACCCACTCAATGAAAGTTCCAGATTTTTCAGTCGTTTTGGTCACCAAGCCCGAAGGGCAGTTGGGGACACCTTCTGCATGTTGACCATACTTCATGTGTGAAGAACCATACAGCCAAAGATATCGTCTCGTATTTCCAGCAGCTGTACTTTTGGGCCCAGCATGAAGCCTTTTCCTCGGGTTGTGTTTGGTCCGAACTCACTTCAAAACCTTGTGGAAATTCTTTGTTTTCCGAGACTCGAAACAACGTAGACTCCCATTCAACCCATGCAACAGGACAGCTGGAAAAAACCTGCCTTCGGGGTCTACCTCGAAAGTTCCCAGTTCCTTGGGCAACGTAGACGGGATTCCAAAACCAATGCGCCCCCCCTTCCTGATCCCGAGGCAGCCGAAGCGAAAATTCGATCCGAGCCAAGCGCAAGGCGCGAAGATTCGAAACCGTCGAAGCCGTCTGATGTTCAAAGCTGCGGCTTTTGAGGCTGGTAGGCGTTGTGGGGCTTTGAAGGGTAAAGAAGCTGCAACCAAAGGGCAAAATCACCATCTTGTCTTGCAGGGCTTTGACATACATCAATCCGCACCATTCCAGGTCTCTTCAGACAATATGTCATATATTAGCGTTGACTAGCCATGTTTTTTGTTTCTTTCGTAATCATCCAGTGTCTCTGATTTTCAAGGTACATGGGTGTGTCTTTTTGGGTTGTTTTAAGGGACACCAAAGGGAAGCTGAAAGGGAAACTCCAACGTTTCAGGTTTCCTCGAAACAAACCCACATACCCCTTCATACGGTTCCTTGGTTCTTGTTTTGCTTCATACCTTGGGCATATGAACAGCGAGCCGCTCGATTTTGGGGTACGCAAAAGGGCAGCTTCCCGAGGAAATCCAAGGAAAGATGTTTGCACAAGCCGAGTTATACGTGGATCCCCCCCCAATCCATTCCAAGGGTCCTTCTTTTCGGAAGATCCGGCGTCTGTTGAGGATGATGGTGTGAACATGGTTGAGATCGATCTTCGGAACAGGTCCTTTGACCATTTTCAATAGCCTTCAATTGCCCTACCGTCGCTTCGTAAGATTGGGGTGCGAGTGTGAGGGCTCACCAGGATGTGACATGTTGGACTGGTTCAGGGCAAATGGGACCCCGGCATCCCTCCAAGACACCAATTCACGCCACTTAGACGGAATGGGGCGGGACTCAAAGTCGCATTTGTCTTAACCCGACCTGCTTTTATTGACCTGTCCTGGGTCTCTCCACAAAGCTGTGGTCCGGACAAAGGCTCTCAAATTCCGGGGGTCCGGGTCCCGCGGTTGCCATCGGTTTCCAACAGTGGTCCATTGGAAGGCGCGTTTTTTTCCTTGGAAGTCAGTTGACAATCGAAACGGTGCTGCAATGAGAGCTGATATGATGGTGTTAAATGGACACCAAAAGCAAGCCAAAGCATCTTGTGGGTCCATGTTCTAATGGGTATGCAACTGTTTAGGTACGAGAATCCTTTCGGTTTCCCGTTGAATCAACCTGAGAAGGGTGCCGGGCCTTCAAATCTGCACCAGTTCACGGAGGGATTGGCGAATTGGCTTCAGAACTGGGTCTGTCTTGATTGAAGGCACCCTTTTTTGGGTTGTTTCAAGGGAAACCAGCAGGACGCCACTCATTTTCAGAGCCAAGCCCAATGAGAGATCTCCGTTTATGGCACCCCATTGTCGCTGGGAGGACGCCCAGCCGGCAAAAAACAGCCGCCGGAGCCAGCCACGCGCAGGACGTTTTGCGGGCCTACCTAGGCATCAAGAAGTTCTGGAGCACTGGATGCTGCTGCCTGATGATTGCCAGCGTGGTCCTCGCGTCTCAGATGAAAGTGGTAGCAGCGGCACCCTTCGCCAGGTGAGTTGTGAATTTGTGCACATGAGCTATAGGGCGCGAGGAGGTATTGAAACGAAGACCAGACGAAGTTTAAACAAAGGGCTACACGATAATTCGGTTTTGTGAAAGTTGCTCTTGTGAACTACGATAGATGAGAAGGAACTGGAAGAGTACGGAAAGACTACAGGAAGACTACAGGAAGACTAGCGGAAGACCACGGGAAGATTGCGGGAAGACTACGGGAAGACTACTGGAAGAGACTACAGGATCACATGACCAGAAACCCTCAACAACTAAGGCGAATCTTTAAAGCGAAGGATTCAGAGATATTCCAGTGTGACAATTTCTTGGTTTTGGCGGCGGATTGCAATGCCAGTGGATTACTGGTGGATCGCTTCTTCTGGCATTTCCATGGAGTTGGTTTGGTTTGTTGCTCAGTTCGGCCATGGGCGGAAAAGCCCAACCCCCCCCCCCCCACCCCCGGCATGGTGTAGGATTGTTGTGGCCCGGTCCCAACATGTTCCGCCCCAATGCAAACCGACAAAGCGGCTTTGGCGGGACCACCAACCCTTGCATTTTTTTGGTGGTTGTGGTAGGGGGTTTAAGACACCTCAAATGGCGAAAAGCAAATGCGATTGTCTCTGAATGTGTTGAAGTCCCCCAACTGTGGCTCTTCGCTTGGCTCTCATTCACAAGTGTCCAAAAAACGACCAAACGTCCGGTTGGTGGCTGTTTTGCTGGGTGGTGTACGGGGTCAAGCTTCTGTGGTTGGCAGTGACTGCTTTGCGATGTAGTCAGCTGGTCAAGGTGCTGCTATGAGTGCTGGTCTAGGGTGCTGTTTTGGGTGCTGTTGCTGGAGTTTGTAAAGGTGTCTCTAAATCTTACGAGTCGCCCACTGACCCCAACTTTTAGTTCGGTTCTAGCCTTCTAAGCTGATTGGACATCCCTTCAGTTGCAATTTACTACCCTCCCGGCTAACACGGAAGTGCACGGAGCCCTGAAAGAGTACGTTCCTCTAAAGGGCCTTTTGGCACTTCCAGGTTGGGAGGGCGGTTTCCCTTATCGGCCGCTTTCGGAGGTGACCAGAAAAATCCGCAGGACTCGCAGGACTCGCGACTCCAGCGCGACTGGCGCGCTCGCTCAGGCCGGGCTCTGCGTGGCCTGGCGGGTGGCGGCTCAAGTGCACTACCTCAGCCAGGCCGCCGCTGAGGCGCGGGGATCGGGGCTTCGTTTCCTGCGATCGGGGGTCCGGTTTGCTGCGGGGGGGTTTGGGTGTCCCTTTGGCTAGAAATAGATGGTTTGGGTGGGTCTATTTCATTTACCAGGGCCATCTATTTTACAAGGTCAAGGCTCGGGGGGGTTGGGTGAGTTCCTGGACGCGAAAATGCCGGTGGAGCTTCCTGAGAGCCGTTTCGGACTTGAGGCACCTTGGGTTCGAGCCATTTGGGTGGTGGAGAAAAGCTTTGCTACTTTTCTGGCCAGTCCACCAAGTGAGTTGAAGGGTTGCTTAGAGGATGCCAGCTGGGAAAAATGCAGGTCCGACACCCTGGTTTACCTGTGGGTTGTCTGGAGCCTATATCTGTTTTTAAGTGGTGGAACCACCTTGAAAGGGAATTCAATAGTGATTCAAACACGCCGAAACAAGGGCGTTATTGGTCACTGGTGCTTTACCGTTCTTGGCAGGGTTTGCATTTTTTCTCATTTTGGGCGGACTTTCTTTGCCGACTCCCTGTGTTGGAGTGGGGGTCAGCTCGGGGGTGTACTGGTGGTTTACCGGGGCTGGGTTGCGACATCGGGATGCAACGAAAGTGTTTAAAAGGAAGTTCACAGGGACACCTCCCAGAATGGGCCAAAACGAGCTCACCATGATGTAGACCTGCGTATTTTTGTGCCCCCACATTTTGTGCTGGATGGTTGCATGTTGGAACGGCTTCAGAGCACCACAAAGCTGGTTGGTGCATATAAAAGTCCATGTGAGCAAGGGCTCAAGAGGGTTTTGAGTAACGAATCCCACGTGGACCAAGGACCAAACACAGCCAGTTGGCCGAAACCAGTGTAAATGATGAGGGCTCCTTACAAGATACATTTTGCACATTTGAAACATGGCTTTTTCCACCAAAATAAAGGACACCACCATTTACAAGGCAATGTTTAGGTGTATAATGTAAGGACTCAATAAAAAGCAAACCCACTTAGGCATGGCCATTTTTGTGGGCAACCCCTTTGGTGGGCAACATCGTCAGGGAATCCCTTGCGCCTTGGTGTAAAGGGAAGTCAAAGGGAGCACCATTTGAAAGCTCCCATATCTATTTTTTCACATCCCCCGGCATGAACCAAACCAGGCAGTCTCTTACAATGGAGGTTGCGAAACAAACGGGTGGCTTGAACGGGAGTGAGTTTGACGGGCCCACACACATCCTTGCATAGTTGGATGACCTAAGTTTTCTGCATGGCACTTCCCCTTTTCAGATCCTTATTAAAGTGTTCCTTGATTCTTTGCTGGGCTTTAAACCTTACAATCTGTCGGTAGAATTCTGCAAAGCGTAAGATGTCGGGGCGCCACATTAGGCAGTTGGGTGTGACAGCGTTTCACATTGTCAACCGCATGGAGCCATTTTTGGACTAGCCACAGGCGGGCCAGCGTAAAATTCGGGTTCCCAAAAGGGTCCTTAATCTATATCGTTGGAGATGTCTCGCTTTGCTCCAAAGGTCTGGCGGCTGAGAAGGCACGCATCTGTGCCATAGTCAAACGGCCCTTGTACTTTGCCAACACATCTGGGGATTCCTGAAAAGATTCTATGACCATGGCGCAGATCTCGGAGTTTTTACTGCCATTTGCTACTTCGAGGGTCAGATGAGTAAAGGAGCCCCACCCCCAGAGAAGTTCTCGGAACCCGTCGATCACCAGGAACAAAAGGCTCTATGACTCTTTTCTGCGCTTGGGGAAGGTTTTTTGATGGGGAGCGATCCTGAGTCGGTGCTTGCTGTGGGTTTTTGACCCTTTGACTAAACCCTGGGGGCTTGAATGCAGCTGGAGCGTTCGGTCTCACCCTAACCCCCCAGCCACCAACCCAAACGACCAGCTGACTTTAGTGGTCGCTAGGGACAGGCTTTGGCCTTGAAGCTTAGGGGGTCTTGGCTTGGGCTTGGTTTGGGCACACCTGTCTCCAAGGCCAGGGATAGGTGTCGGAAAAGTGGTGCACAGGTGGCACTTGACCCTGCAAGCTGAGGTGGAACCTGACTTGGCGTGGGTGGGTGGGTGGGTGGGTTTCCCTTCATCACCAAAACTTAGGTAGTCCTCAAAGTTATTTCCCCGCTAATTTGTGCTCTTTGGGGTTTCCGTTCACCAATTTGTTCGACGAGCTCAGCGGTTCTACTTGGCTCAGTTTTTTTGGTTTTTGGCGACGTCTAGATGAAGCTTCAGAGCCATGTTGGTAGAATGGTAGAACCACCAGTCAACGGGTTTGGGGGTCGTTTGGGCCATGCCCGGAAATCATGTTCGTGGCTCAGGTGGAGATGCCTGTTGAGGCCGGTGCTGTACGGGGGCTCGTGTTGAAGCCCTTGGTCTGAGCCGAACTCAAAGCCCCGCATGAAGTTTAAGAGCCAGTCCCGGCCATAGCAGATATCCGCTTTGATTCTGACTCCCGTCCGTGGGGAAAGCTTGGATGGAAAGATCCATTTGCTGAAGGCGTTTTTTTGTTGTTGTTGCTCGTTCTGCTGGCTTCGCCCGGTTTTCTCGGGCAGTGGTAGAACGCTGGATTGGTTTTGGCGTCACCTTCCCTGTTTGGTCACGTGGATGTTGTTTATGTTCAACCAAACTAACTTTGAGAAGGACACCCATTGCGGTTTCAGGCAAATCCGCAGACCTCTTTTAAGACCCTCTTCCTCAGCAAAGCAGATCAGGTGCAACCATTATGGTTGTTCCCCTGTTGGGCTACCAAAGCGGGAGTCCCGCGCAAATGACTAGAGAGCTCATCCCTTGTATCACAGAAACCTACCCTGAAACCCCGCCTTTCGTAAAGAGAAAGCTGGTGTTGCACTCGACCTCGAAGTTTGGCTTGGCGGAGCTTCTACGTGCCTTCCTATGGCCTCAGCAACCGGTTCAAGCCCCCAGTGTCCGATCCAAACGAGCCAAGAGCGACCAGGCAGTTGCGAGGTTTAGTGACTCAAAACTGAGAAGCTGTTTGCTCCAGGCTGAATTCACTTGTGTGTGTTTCCTTTTTGCTGGGAACCTCTCTCAAACTGGGGGGGGGGGGGACCTTTTTGGAATCCCCCTCTTGGGCGGCACCTTCAGCGGGGTCCACCAAGGGGCAGACCTGGAGGACTTGGTGTGCATTCGGTAGAGCTTGCCGCGATGCTGACGCCGCCTTTTGCACAGCCCTTCCATTTGACAGATGGCACTGGTTTGGGTGTGTCTCTTATCGTTTACCAGTGCCATCTACTTGGGGCAACCAACCCCTGCCTGACAACTCCTATGTCAAGACATGAAATTTGGCGCCCTGGCGATTGTGTACCACTTAGCATGTGTTTTTGCTGCACAAATAGCCTCCAACCAACTCGGAAGCTGCCTACCTTTTGGGGAAAGCCCCTCCCTCAAGGGTATTTCAGCATTTCTGGAGCTTTGAGGGGAAATCCACTGGCACTCTTACTATTTCTGGACCTGCGCGGGGAAAACCACATTGCAATCTTGGCATTTGTACGACGACCTGTGCGGGTGATCGGGGATGTGTTTTTTGAGAGTACCATTTTGGGGTCTAAAGACTAAAGTCGACCGAAACTGGAGGGCGTTTGGGGTGGGGGGAAGAGATATTGGACCAGAACTGGGATCGGTGCATTTGTAGGCCACAAAGGCGCGGGTAAAGGTTGTTTTTCAGGGCTGGGTGGGTAGTTTTTGAGAGGCCCTGGAGAAATCCGACTTCTTCCCCCTGGGCTGCTACCCTTTGGTGGCTGGCGACGCTTCTGGGGACGGCAACGGCGAAGTGCGCACCTCGCTCCAATTCGGGCACGGCTGGACTGCAACCACTCAGTGGAACCCCAACACCGCCACTACTCCTAGCTTATGGCCTTGTTTGGCTTTGTTTGGTGTTTCCTGGTCTTGCATAGGTGGCCATGAATGGTGGTATGTACTCTAAACCCACCTTGACCTAGCCCTAAACCCACCGAAAACCCACCCTAACTGACCTTAACCAAGCCCCAAACCGACCTAAACCCACCCTAAACCCACCTCCGAACCAAGCCCTGAACCCACCCCATAACCAAGCCCTAAACCGACCTTCCCCATGCAACTCGTCATGTTTTTCCTCGTTTTTGGCTTCAGGCGATGAGGCCTGCCGCGCCAACGACGCGCCGGGTGCAGCCCACTGCCGGAGCGGCGTGCCCTTCTTCCGGTTTGACTTTGGCGCCTGGTCCGAACTGGGCAACAGGTTTGGGCCGGATGAAACCTATCCTACGAATCAACAGGGGGTGTCACCCACACGGGGCTTAGAGGGATGGTCATCCACGCAGTGGGGATCCTTAGCAACCAATAAAATGATCCTATTAAGGGAACCATGACCAGAGCCCACATAAATCAGTTTTGACCATTCTACATATGATACGTTTTCGGTGGGTTTTCCAAAGATTGCAAGCATACCCGTCATGAACCGTGGATGAGTTCACCGTACGGGCCTGAGTTTTGTGTATTTGTTATTGCACCGAACGTGCCCATCTGCGATGGTCCGCATAACAAATGGGATGTTTTGACGTTTTGATCAGAAAGGCTCTCCAAACCACCTGATCAGAACCCCCTTTTAAGAAGGTTCCTTCAGCACCTTTCCTATGGGCCCAGGCTCGCATGCTCTGAGGGCCAGCATTGTCTATATACAATTGAGCATGTGCGAAAAAAGGACCAGGCCATGACCAGTGGCTTTTCTTGGCGAATCAATCACATCTCGCCTTGCTAGGACGCGTGGTGTCCTGGCGCTTTTGCGCCAAGCTCTGTCTTATGAAAGGCGCGGTCGGATCGACTCGTAGGGTTGCACTTCCTCACAAGCGGCGGTTCTTGCGGAGGGACAGCCGTACCACTCCGTGCAGCAAGAAGCTCTTATGATTTACTCCTCCGATTTGCCACGCTTGGTTGTTCAGATTGGCAAAGAACTGCAGAGTTCTTGGAGTTCTGGCCGAGGGAGATCTGGTTCCATGTTTCTGAATCCGGGGTCAAACATCAGTGCGTGAATTTTTCTCTGGGCAGGTTCCAGCAACGTCACTACACGGGGAGGTTTGCAACGTCACCCAACGCGAAGGTTTGTTTCTTGGGTCTTGGACTTGGCTAAAGACACATGTTTCGGACTTTTGTGGACTTCAGCGGAGTTGCATGGTTCTGCCACCTTGAGTCTAGGGATAAAATGCAGCTGACCTTTCCTTGCTGGTTCTCAGCAGGGAATGAGGGCATGACCCCGAAAACAGCCATCCCCTATGGTGTCCTTTAAGGGAATCCCTAGGTTCATTCCCAACACCCTGGGTCATTCCCTACTGAGCACCAGCAGGTTTCAACAGGTGGTCTGACCAAAGAGAGGCTTCGCATCCTTGCGAGGTATGGACATTTCCGCACTGGTGGATGCCAAAGAGTGCCGTTGTGGCGCATCCGAGCGGAATTTGCAGGCGCACCGTGAAAAGGGGGCGGGAGACGGAAGAAAGGGATCCGTGGGCGTGTCTTTTTTAGGCGGGCTCCAAAATGGTGGTTTTCCTTTTGGTGTTTAATTGAAACTACACAAAAGGGGTACCCTCAAAAAGACGAGCCACCCATATATCATTTTGTCTCAAAATCGGGGAACCCATCTAACATTTCCGTGGTTTTCCTAGATTTCCCTCAACCCCAGGATACCCTCAAAAAAGGCTGTTTTGGGAAGTCTCTCTTAAAACCTTAATCGACGTAACGAACAAGAATCTGTATTTAAAGCAATTTCCGGCTTCGTGTTTTCGATCCGCGGTGTTTCTTTTTCCGGGCAATTGCTGCAGGCTTGGTCACCAGCCTCTTGCAAGTCTTGCAGGGCGTTGATTGCAAATGTTCATCGCGGAGCGGGATCTACTTCTCGGCAAACCGCGCGAACCCATCATGTGTTCTTGAACTAGCAAGCCCAATTTAGATTTTCTCGAGCCACCCAGGTGGTGCTGAACAGATGGATACATATATATATATATATTTCAGGGCCTAACTGTGTGGCAGAATCTGATCAAATTTTCTGCAGATGTGGTGACGGGACTTTGGGACAGAAAGTTATAGCATGGGCAGTTCAAAGGCAGCGAGCCTTGATTTTCCAGTGGGAACTGGGGGTTTTAGGCACTCCTTGGTTCCTCTTGGAAGGTGAGTATGGTTTCTGAAGGCTGGTGTTTGCGACGGAAACCAGCTGGTTTTACAGGTGAAGCTTCCAGCCTCCGGTCGCCCCGGTAAAGACCAACCCATTCTAAGGTGCGATTGACAAAGCCCAGAAAGGCATTTGTCAGTCAGGCTATCAATGGTGAAAAGGCCTCATCTCTTGCTGGATAAGCCTCCTGGTTATTTAGGAGGTTCCTGTCCTCTGGGGCTGTGGCATAGTCATTAGGGTCTTCACACGCCTCGAGTGGCTGATGATCGGATGTCGGCCCACTGGATTTGGGGGGGGGGGGGGAATGAGCTGCTGACACACATCATGTTTGTCAGCTGTCATGTGTTGGTTTGAGGATGAGAAGCCGGGACTGTAAGCAAGTAGGTGTCCTCTTGGTTTCCGTTGAAACATTTTCCTAAAAGCGCACGCACCTAAATAGTTTGTAGGATTCCAACCCCTCCCTTGCCACCCTCGCCCCCTTTTGGTGTTGTTTTGTTGCAAAATAGACCATTCTAAGATACACCCAATGCGATTGGAGGGGCAACAATGAAAAAAACAGTCCCAAACCGCAGCAATTTCAGGCGACATACTCATGTTCCACGTGCCGCAGGTGTGGCAGGAAGGCGTGGTGCCTGAGCGCCTCCAATTCCAGCCCCTCCGTGCGGCGGGGTTGGATTGCGCGGTTCAGGGCGCCCTTTTTCCGTTCCCAGAACAACGGCTCAATCCCCAAGAAGCATTTTTAGGTTTTTGAATCGCCAAAACCAAGTTCAAAAGATGTCAGTGGATGATTTCCAAAGGCTCTGAGGAAATTCACGCCAAAACGAAAAGGGCCCTAGGGAGCCTAGGAAGAAACCTGCCCTTTCCAGGGTTCATGACGAAAAAGCATCTTGGGGACATATGGACATTTGAGATCAATCGAAAAAGACGGGCGTTTTTCTTTTTGTTACCCATTCTTTCGTGGCTGCCGTCGGATTTATTGCCTTGCCGTTCGCCCATTTTGGTATGAAGGGTATATCAGAAGGCTCTCAGAACCGAGCAGGTTCCAAGCTTTGGGGGTCGAGGGGCTCGGCAGCCGCATGTATCAATGAACACTTGGGTGATTGGATTGGTTTGGGGATGTGAACCTTTGTTGAAACTCATGGGAAGGTAGGCCCCGAACCTCCAAGCCACCAATCCAAGCCACCAATCCAAGCCACCAATCCAAGCCACCAAGAAAGGGAAGCTGGTTGGATTGGTGGGGACTAGGACCCAGGGTGTTGGTTTTAGAGGGTAAACGGAGGAATCCTGCCAAACCAGAAGGGGAACGCCTCCAATCCAACCCCCAAATATGAAAACTAGTTGCGTTGAGACTCATGGGAAGGTATGCCCCTCCACCGATCACCCATGCATCAAGGATGACCAGGTATCACCTCCAAAACCGCCTTGAGACTAAATGGGAAGCTAGCCCAACCGAACCGAACCACCAGCAGATCCACAGGCGGTGGCGCCAAACAGTTCCCAGTGCCGCCTGCTGGCTGCGCGCTGGGGTGGGGCCTTGCCCCCTGAGCGGACGGATCTGGGCGAATCGGACCTGGAGTACATTAGGCCAGCGGCTCGGGGATGGGGAGGCTGGCACTTGGGGCCTCTGGCACCTGATGAGGGAAGCTCGAAACTGGATGGTTCGAAGGGATGGGGCTTTTTGCACCCCCGGAGCTGGTGGGGTGCAAGCCCACGAATCAATGAGCATAATACCTTCTTGCCCTTCTTAAAAAGCCCACTGCGCCGCCAGCGGAATGAGGAGCACGCAAGAAGCTGCCTTAAGGAAACGCAGTTGCTTAAACGTCTTTATGTTCGAGGCAATCCATCTACTCAAGCTATGGTGCTGTGTTTTTTTTGTCCGCAGACCAGAGAGGAGAGACCCTCAATTGGGGTTGGATTGGTGGGTTTGGGTTGTCAGCCCTTCTTGTTGAGGGTGAATGGGCAAACGCCCCCTAACCTCCAAACCAATCCAAATCATCGATTTGGGTTATGTAAGGTGACAGTGAGTAGACCCCCCCGCCGGCAATGCCTCTTTTCCCTTTGTCGTACCGCCCCTGGAATCACTTTTCTATGTAAACATATTATGCATATACGTATCCGTATAATTATACATATACATACACGCATATCTATATACACCTGTACACGTTGTACATATACGTCTCGTAGTATTGACCCCATATTAGCCAACCCCTGTCTACTAATAGGGGTCTCCGGTGACCACTTTGGAAGGCTTTTCACCCCATTAATAAGCAGGCGTTGATCAATATGGAGTCAACATGATCTTTGAATCGATCAATGGAAGCAGCTCGAACCACACAAGCAACTAAGAAGCACCAAAAGACAACCACACCACACACGAAAAGGGTCCGGTGTTTTTTCTGGGTGATGAATGTGGTCACTTTTGGAGGGGTCTTCACTCCCTTTTGATAAACAGCTGGTTGATGAATCTGAAATCAACCTTTGCCGGTCTTGTGACCAAATCGCCCCTTCCTTTTGGACAATCGCTTTTCCAGAAAAAGCCCACAACAGGTGACCGACCTTTGGCTCAGATCATGGGGGTCAACACGAATCAGACCACTATTGGAGGGGTGTTCACCCCCCCCCGTTTGACAAACTGGTTGGTTGATGAATATGGGGTCATGCGAAATATCCATCGCCAGGAGCTTGGTGAACAGCGCGCCGGTGGAGTCCATGGAGCGCCTGCCGCTCCAAAGGAGTTCCAGGAGCAACGTGCCGGTGGCTGGTTTGGCGGGGGTGGATTGGGTGCAGGTGGCGGCAAACAGCGCCTTGGCAACGGAGAAGAGGCTATGAGGGCTATGTAGTGGCTGCAAAAGGGGTATGTCAGGGATATAACAATATACCTATCTCCATGTTTTTGTTCAGTTGTCGGTGTTTGTGTTTTGTTTCTTTGTTTCTATGTCTCTTTCCTTCTTTCTTTCTTCCTTTCTTTCTTTCTTTCTTTCTTTATCTTTTTTGCTTCGGTAGCTTCGGGTGACACAGCGAGTCCGGCCCAATTTCGCGAGACCTGAGGCACCTGCTTCCCCGGGCGCTGCTCCACTGGCTGGCCCTGGCCCATTTGGGCGGAATATTCGAAGCTCAACCGAAGGGGTTAAAACCATACCGCGCTCGGCGGTTTTCTGGTTGCTTTGCCTTTGAAACCATAAAACGGGGGGGTGATGTAGTATGTATTGGTCGTGTTACCCCTTCCCTTCAAAGGGAAGCTCCCACTTTGGTAAGACAAGAGCCACACCCATATGATGTCTCAAAGTGAGGAAACCCTTATGGCTGGTTTCTTATTGGTTTCTCTTTAATATCATTGAACCAGCCACCTCGAAATTGGCCCTCAATAGGTCCATCTCAACTCCGGAGTGGAGCTTGGATTTCCGCTCTGTTTGCAGACGTAAGTGCTGTACTTTGCATTGTGCTGGCTGGGGGGTTTCGGGCTTGTGGGGAGGCGATATCTCCAACTCACACTTTAGGATGGGGGGGTCTTGGGCTTCTGCCTGATCTGGTGGTTTGAGGTGATGGAGAGTCTTCAAGACTCGTGCACTTGGGGAGCATGACTACCTTGACCAGTGGCGCAGTTGTTGCATCACTCGACAAATCCAATGCCAATTCAACCAAGCCACTTTTCGAAATACTCATTCCAAGGGGGCCTGCCAAGGGGGTGGATACCCATGATCGCGTGACCACGGGGTTCCATGGAACTCCGCCCTCCAGGAGCACCCCAAAGGTCACGTCACTCACCGGTGCAAGCGAGGAATGGAATCCCTTACGCTTATGACGAGACTGCCCCGCGGTTTGGAGCGAGCGGATGGGGGTTGACAGGTCCTTCTGCCTCTTTCTTGGGGCCCGGCTCGTGAAATCCATCGCCTTTGGGTGGAGACTGTCTTGAAGGATCGCATTGCCTGCTTCGGGTGGGTCTGAACATCAGTTTTTGGTTTCAGTTTCAGAGGGCCCAGATCGTGAGATCCACGGGTCCCTGTTCGGGACGCAGAAAGCAAAGCCCCGTTTTGAGGGCTCTAGCTGCGTTGCCCAGATTTGGTGGTTTCAACACCAAGGTTCTCGGAAAGGAACATTTGACATTAGCTTCTTTTGGGTTTGGGGATGTTTGGAGGTTTGATATATTGGCAACATGAAAGTGAACCGGCTCAAAAAGAGGGCCAGCTTTTGGACACCTTCCCCTCGATTCCATAGCTCCCAGAATGCTTGGAAAGACTTACCCTCCCACCGACTAGCGTGGAAGTGCACGGACCCCTGTGGAAAGCATACCTTCCTCTTGGAAAGGGGCTTTGAGCACTTCCATGTTAGTTGCTGGGAGGGTAGTTTCCAACAGCCAGGCACATTCCATTGCCTCAATTGGTATGTCTTCTTGACTCAGCTCACGCATTCTCAGCTCCGCTTTCTATGGAGAAGCCTGCTGATTCATGGTTCTCTGGCTGGGTATCAACCCCGCTCTACGGGGGATCTGGAGCACTGTTTTTGAAGCCAGCCGCCCTTCCCTTCCTGCAAGGAACCTCCAGGGCGACCTTCTTTGGTCCTCTTTGATCCAACGCTTTTCCCGCTTGAGACCCAAACCGCAAGGTTCGTGTCAAAGCCTGGGGTTTGAACCCCGACATGGTTGTTTTGCTTCTGGTGTCCCTTCCAACGAAGCTGCAAAGGGCACCCTCCAAAAACAAACACAACACAAACACAACAACGCAAGCACCAAAAAGACAACACACACACAACACACACACACAACCACACAAAAACAAGCATACAAACACAAACACACAAACACAAACACACAAACACACAAACACACAAACACACAAACACACAAACACACAAACACACAAACACACAAACACACAAGCACACAAGCACACAAATACACAAGCACACAAACACGCAAACGCATTCCCCCAGCATAGACCTTAGATGGCATTGGAAATTTGACCACCACCCAAAAGACCAGCATCCAAAACAGCACCCCTGACCAGCACCAGTACCCTGCCCCGACAAGCACAAAGACCAGCACCCCGACCAGCACCCTGAGCAGCACCCTGACCAGCAGCCCCCACCTGGCCCGAATTCGCTGAACACGCCCGACCTCTTTTAGAAGTAAGAACCCCTTATAGCTTTGAGCCATCTCGGGAACAAACGCACAAGCACAAGCACAGGCATAAACAACAAACACAGCAACACATGAACACAAACACAAATCAAGACACACACACGCAGTCTATTTCGCGAAACGTCGAGTGTGTTTTTCTGCATCTGCAGGTGACGCAGCCCACGAAGGTGTCGGTGAGAAGCGCCATGTCCCACCTGTCGAAGATGATCTGCGTGCAGTTCCAGGCGCGGGGCTTAGGGCTCAGGGGCGGTGGGTGTGTGGGGGCGTGGGGGTTGGGTTGCGGGCGGTGGGGCTTGCGAAAAGCTTTGGGCCCATGTGTGTGTGTGTGTGTGTGTGTGTGTGTGCTAGGCAGCTTTCAGAATGATGTTTGGAGGTTCGGCTACGTCAGACCCTGGTTTACCCTCCAGTCCGCTAGCATACCAATGTGGGACCTGCCAGGAAATAGTCTCTTATACGGGAACATCGTCCAAACTAGGACTCAGTCAGGCTACATGCTGGATGGAAGTGGACGTTCGGGGCGGTTTTAGGAGGATGGAGTCTTGGGCCTCACTAAACGTCAACCATTCTTCAAGAATAGGGCGAAAGGCTAGTGCCTTTTGAATTCAACAAAAAGCACAGACACGAGCCCCACTTAGGGTGATAGCATGTTGCCAATTTTTGGTGCTTGCTTGTGCTTTTGGGAGCGTTAGGTAGACTTGTGAAGCCCAAAGCGTTTGCGTTTCTTGGGGACTATGGTGGGAAAGTTTGTCGTGCCCTCAGGGTTCTTGAGATCTTGCGGTAAAATCGAAGGAAGGATTCTGATCTGCAGGAGGGGCCATTTCTGAGCAGCTTCCTTTGGTTCCCCTGTAGAGGTGACCAAGCGCTTCTGGACGGAAGAAGGGTGCGAGGGAATTCCTGTTCCGGCCGTGACAAAAAGAGCATTCTGCGGCTTGGGATGAGTGCGTAGTTCAGTTGAACATTCACTTTTTTGAATCAATAGCACATAATTACATCTTAAAAACCACGTTGTTTGCAATGGGGGGTTGGAGGACGTCTGGTTGCGGGGTTGCAAACCCTCCCGCGCCCTTAAACCTGGCGTGGCCTTGTTTTTCAAAAGCTTTGCCCTCTCTATTTGTTTGAATCCTTCAAAGGCTGCTCCTTTGAACCCCCCCCAAAAAAACAAAACAAAACAACAAGAACACACACACACACACACACACACCAAAAAAACAATAACAAACACAAGCACAAACACAAGCCAAGTACTTTCCCAAAAACACAGACCCGTTGTGCGCCCGACCTCTCAGCGCCGAGAGGAGGTGCCCTTGAGCTATTCGGCCATGTACAAGGTCGTGGTCACCGTCAAGGACCCCGGGCCCTGCTATGCCAGCAGCCTGGCGGAGACGACACGGCTGTTGGTTGGATGGTTCTCAGGGAGTCGCTTAAAGGGGGGTTTTGGGACTATGGATGGAGAAACTACAAGTGATGCTTGACAGGCTTTTCAGGGACGGATCGCAAACGAGCGGTTCCCGCAGTTGCGCAGCGGGCAAGGTAAGGCAAGGGCCCCTTTTAAAAGTGATCTCGGATTTTCAGGGGGTCTGCGCACGTTGCCATGTCAAAAAATGAGAATCCAGCAGGCTTGGCCCCAGCTTTTCCCCGCGGTGCCTTTTTGAGCTGGGAACCTAAATTGCGGCAACATCAAGGGTGTTCAAGCGCCAGGCAGTTGTAAACAGGTTTTGGGGACCTCAACGTGAGCTTCCTCTTGTTCGGCGATCTGGGAGTCCATCGTTGTCGCCGGAGGTCCCTTTCTCGCCTCTGAAGTGATCTGGTTTGATCTTGGCCTGGAGACTTTCTTTCTCAAAACAGGTGAGAAAGGACTCTGTGTGGCCCCCCTAGAAAGTATTTCGCGGTTGCCTCTTTGAGCGGAACCCAGACTTGTCTCCCCCACCAAAAGGGTGCTGCATAAAAGGTTGCGCAAGGCATCTGGAACCCAGAGCCCCACCCGCCTCCCCCCCCCAAAGCACAAGGGACCGCTGATTTGGTCCGAAGGCATCATTGGCTACCCCGGCTTGCGGCGCCAAGACTCGGTGCTGAACCTGGCCTCCTGCTCTCAGGCGCGAAGCCGCGAAGCCGGCGTTCGCCTCTGGCTTTTGTTGCTTCAAAGGATGGGGATTTGAGAGCAATCCAAAGGGGGATTAAGGACAAGGGCCACTTGCAGCCTCAAATTGGTGTGGATATCCGGCCGTTGAATTCTTTTCGTTGGTTTGGGCAGACTCTTTCGACTGATTTTCTGGTGGGGTGTTTGGAGGTGAGAAATGCCACTGGAATGAGCAGGGTAGTGCCGCAAGAGGATTTTTCACCTCCCCTCCAAACAACCCAGCTGAACAAATCTTGAAAAGGCTCGCTATGTCCTTCCTTTCCTTGGAATCAAATAGATCTGGGTCAAATGTTTAGGGGGCGTTCTTTTTTGTTGTTGTTGAATTCAGGAAGGGTTCAAAGGGCTGTTGGGGATACCACATGGCCTTTGTTGGGCGCGGCTTATTCTCTTGGGGTTGGACATTTCCATTTTCCCCGCCTTGGGACTGTCTTGGTGTGGTTTGGTATGGAGTTTGGCGAGGAGCATGCGCCAGTCCTACATTTGGATCGGAAGCGGCCCTGCTTGGCCGAAGGTAAGGGCAAGGTAAGGCAAGGTAAGGAGGAAAGACCAGGTAAGGCAAGGCAAAGGCAAGGTAAGGCAAGGCAAGGCAAAGGCAAAGGCAAGGTAAGGCAAGGCAAGGCAAAGGCAAGGTAAGGCAAGGTAAGGCCAGGTAAGGCATAGGCAAGGCAAGGCAAGGTAAGGCAAGGTAAGGCAAGGTAAGGCAAGGTAAGGCAAGGTAAGGCAAGGTAAGGCAAGGTAATGCAAGGCATAGGCAAGGCAAGGCAAGGTAAGGCAAGGTAAGGCAAGGCAAGTCAAGGTAAGGCAAGGTCAGTAAGCAAGTAAGCAAGTAAGCAAGTAAGCAAGTAAGCAAGTAAGCAAACGAGCAAGTAAGCAAGCGAGCAAGTAAGCAAGTAAGCAAACGAGCAAGTAAGCAAGCGAGCAAGTAAGCAAGTAAGCAAGTAAGCAAAAACAAGGTTGGTTGGTAGGCTGGCAGGCAACGTGCTTGAACATGGTACCAACTTAAAGCCCGCCATCCCCGCGTCAGAACATGGGGGTGATCCTCCATGAGCTGGGGCACGTCCTGGGCATGTCCCACGAGCAGGCCCGCCAGGCGCAAGCGGAGAGAGAGGCACCCACGCCCCGGAAATGTCGACCCTCTGCTCAAAGCCAATCCTTGATCCAAGACAAGTTGCGAACGGTTTTTTTTGTTTGTAGTTGTAGTGGTTTTCTGATAGGGATTGTGGGTTGTTGATCGACGCTCCACGTTGAGCACCCTGCTTTTTTTGGGGGATTTTTGAGCTTTTGGGTCAACCCATGCTTTCAAGCTAATTGACCGCCCCCTCCCGGGAGAATCCTCCAAGAGGCCTCCCTACAAAACCACATGGGCGAACAAACTCGGGGGAGACCAAAGGCTCCAGATCCCACCCTCAGGCACGGCTCAGATTGAAGCTCATTTTTCAGGCTTTACATGTCTGCCGCTGGGCAAGTTCCTGCAAAAGCAAACGGTTTTGGCCCATTGCGTCCCAAAACAGACTAATCTTCCTTTGCCAATTTGAAGTCAGCTTCCGCTTTCCATATCCCAAACAGACATGAGGCACCCGGACACGCCCCCCCATAAACCCCTTGAAAGGCCGGGGGGTAGATAATTTGACAGGGGAGAGGGGAGGGGTCCTGCAAGTCAAGGGGCAAAGTCAGCCTCGGATTCGATTCCAGAAGCGGACCCAAAGGGCGCAGATCGATCCCAAATGTGAGAGAGCGATGGCCTGATTTTCGAGAAGTACCATGTTTCTCCATGTGATGCTACTTGCATTTTTTGACACATTACTTTCTTGTAGGATGTAGGTCTCTTCAAGGAACTGGCTGACAGGGAAGGTAACCCAAGGAGCGAGAATGAGCTGCGACGGGGAATCCTGTTGACTCGCATCTATTCCATAGGAATTTCCCATCCATCGTTCGGAGTGGTCAATCTCTTGGGATGTGAGTCAGGATGGTGACCAGAGATTTGTCCCCTATTACTTTCTCCCACATCCCAGTCCGAAGAAGAGAGAAGTGTGATCATGGACGAGGATTCTCTCTCTTACCTTCATTGACAGACAGAATTCCAAAGGTAAGAAACTACCCTCGAAATTGAGGGATACCGTAAGGTGGTTTCTTGATATTGCCTTGAATCTTTTCTTGACCCTCCTTTATTCGCTCGACCCAGTTGCCAGGATCGGGATAACCACGTGGTCGTCAACTGGGCAAACGTGGACAAGGTGTGGGCAACATGCCAAGTGGGATCAAGGTGTTTCTCATTTGTTGCCAACAGTTTCCTTTTTAAAGCTTGGCTCACTCCTGAAACTGGACTTCAGTCGGGAAGACCATTTCAGTGCTAAACAACAAATCATACTTTTTTTGGGGCAGTCAAGGTCTTATAGGGGAAGGTCCCTGACTGAAGAATTCCTTCGTCCCTGGTTTTTTGGGGGCGCAGCGGGTTGTTCCTTTGCTCCACAACCAGTGTTTGTTTGAATGTTTGATGGGCGCGTGGCTTGCCTGTTTGTTTCCTTCACCAAAAAAGCATTGCATATCGCCGCAAAAACGTCCCAACTCAACTCGTTACTGGCGAAAGTGAACTGAGGGGCTTCCGAGCCCTGCGACCAAATGAGAAACCGGGTGTTGACCCCGAACCCTGTTTATTCATAGGGGGGTGTCCCTGGGTTTAGTGGGGAATCATCGCATATGGATGGGCACCCCCCTGTTTAAAAGCACGGGTTTATCAATCCGGGGTCAAAACTAGGGGTCCAATTTCAATCCAGCTGTTTCCGTTTCTTGTCGGAACCCTGGGCTTAGCGCGTCTCATGAAGTTGCTGCGAGCGAAGGATTGGCGCTTTGGACTGCCTTTGAGAAAAGAAACGGCGCTGTTCCCCGATTTTTTCCGTTGGCGGAAAATACGGAGGGGGTCAACCAAGGCAGAGGCCTTTGTGCTTTGGTGTGTAAACTGCCCCCTTGTTGCGAACACGCACCATTTTCAGGGTGGGTTTTGGAGGCTTATAGACCGGCGGTTTTTCTTAGTTTGGCATGGAACGAGCTGAACTTCGTTTCCTGGCCAGTTCTGTGATAGCCAAGCAAGGTGCCCATGGGGAACGCTCGTCTTCGCGTTGCATCGCAAGCAGGGACCCGTCTCCTCATGTGATATGCTTTTGAGGCCGAGCATATTTTTGGTGTACCCTGGAATTTACACCCCCCTTAGAAATGAAATTGGGGCAGGGGGTGACCCCTGGAATTCTCTTTCGACTGTCCCTTCTCTGAGGAAGACTAGACAAATGGGTGTGGGTCAATATTCAACCAGGAGACCGCATATTTTAGTCATTTTAATCCATGTTTCCATTTACCGGGGTTCCATTTCGGGTACCTAATTTTGACCAGCCAAATGGAAGTGGGTCCCGGAGCTCCC